TCTGCCTGCCCGCCTGCCCGGTCTGCCTGTCTGCCCGTGCTTCAGGTCTGCAGAAGCCTCCCAGCCTTTGTGGCACCAGGGACCGGTGCTCCTATGAGAATCCGATGCCTGACGATCTGAGGTGGAGCTGGGGCGGTGACCCTGGAGCTGGGGAGCGGCTGCAGAGACAGAGATGCAGCTTTGCTCACGGGCCGCCACTCAGCTCCTGCTGGGCGGCCTGGTTCCTAACAGAGCAGTCCGCGCCCGGGGGTTGGGGACTCCTGCTTTACGTGTTCCAGGGGGACTTCTCACTGCAAGAGCCCACACTCGCCTTCACCCCTCCCCTGGGCACGGGTGCTGGGATGTGGCCCTGTCCTCTGGGAGTTCCCGGTCCAGCAAGGGGGGGTGGGGCGTGGACAGGTAAATGTGGTGGCCAGAGAACGGGCTTAAGGGCTCAGAGGAGGCACCTGGCTCCAGCACGGCCAGGGAGGGTCCCCCGAACACAGGCACTTACGCCTTTTATTAAACCACTTCTGAGGGAGAGACTGGCAGCAAGGGCCGGGCAGGTAGAGCTGCTACCTGTGGGTACCTGCCAGCAGGTCTGACCCTCCGACGTGCGGGCCTGTCCACTCCTGGGGTCTATGTCCAGCCCAGGGCCTGGCACACAGGACGCCCAGCATGCATGAGAGGAGCAGAGGGCTGAAGGGGGCAGCTTTCTGAAGGGGGTCCACCACTGCGCCGACGACAGCGGCTGGGGAGGGAGGGACAAAGGCCCAGGCCCCCAGCTGGGGGCAGCCAGCAGTGAATGCTGGGGGCTCGGCGGGCTCCGACCCCTGCCTTGGGACATATGGCCCTCTGATACTACGGGACGGAAGTTCTGGATTATAATATGCCCAGCGGCAGGGTCAAGGGCCGGGAGGCCGGCCAGGGTCTGGGCGGGCCGCCTGGACGGGCCCCCCACAGGGCTCTTGGGCACCACGAGTTAGAATGGTTTTTACCACGTTTCACACAGAGGGAGCCGAAGCCCAGGGCGTGAAGAGGTCACGGGCCGCTCCACGCTGGCACGCGGCTTCCCCTCTGCTTCCTAGGGAAGCTCTGTGCCAACTCCAGGAGCCGCCGGGAGCCCGCGCAGAAGGGCTCAGCGCCCTCCTCCCCATCCACGGGGGTGCCCGCCCCGTCACAACCCTCATGCCACCACCTCAGGGCGGTTGCCAATCAGCCTGGCATACCCTAGGGTGGGGCCTCGCCTCCCTCTGCAGGCTTGAGTGAGCAGGACCCTGTACCCCGCCCAGCAGCCTGGAACGGGCTCACTTGGCAGCCGGTGGCCCTTGACGGGCTCACAATAAACATCGTATTAACAGGGACACGAGACGCTTCTCGGAATTGGGGCGTGGCCTCGGGAGATGGGGCATGGATACCACAGGGTGCCCTGCCAACCCCTCAGGCCATTGCCTCAGACGACCAAGCCCATGCTACACCCCTCCGGGAGGCCCACTGATCCATGTGGATTGAGGGTCACCTCGGGACTTTGGGGCCAGGGGTAAAAAAAGCGCCAGTCCTGCCCGCAGGTTCCAGTGTGGTCTGTGACCTGAAATGGAGCGAGCAGAGGCTGACCACTCAGGTGGCCTCAGGGCTGGACCCTCAGAAGTCATGGTGCCTGGGGAAAAGGAAGGAGGTGGGGAGGACTGTCCTCTCCTCCCAGGAACTTCAAGCACCTTGAGGCCCCCTTGCCAATAACAGCCCAGCCTGGGCTTGTCCTTCACTCACACAGCTCCTGGAGTTCAAGTTCAAGTGCAGCTCAGGAGCCTGGCCCTGAGCCCAGATCCATCAGTGAAAGGGGCTGCTGTCATTTGAGAGTCAAGGCGCGTAATTCACTAAAGAAGCGCAGGTCTCAGGCTGTGGCCAGGCAGCTCTCAGCATTGTCCCTGCCCTCCGGGGCACAGGCCCAGAGGTGGTGAGGAGGCCCACCTGCCCGAGGCTGCAAAGATCCCAGAGTGCTCCTCCCAACACCTCTGGAACTTAAGTGGCCCACGTGTGGGACTGTCTCCAGCCCTTGGACGCCTGGTCAGGGTCACTGGGGAGACCCAGAGGCCTTCGGAGAGAGGCCGCCTAC